GATCAGTGGATCCCAAGATATTTGCATTTAAGCATGTTAAAAGTTTGTACCTCAACTTTAAACGTAAATATCTCTGGATCTAATGATTCAATCGGCGAGCTCTTTTTTCGCCTATAAAGTCCAGAACAAGGGCTTTCCAACGAGTCTAAAATTATAGAAAACAGATCAGTGAATCTTGATATATTTGCGTCTAAAGATGGTAATACAAATTCTGACATAAAATAACTATTTTTATTGTTTGAAAATATCTATTATGATACCATTAGTCTTTTATATGATATTTTTATTATACTTTTATAAACATTTATAGCTACTAAGACTATATAAATTTTTATTTTACTTTATATTTTATTAAAATATACTTACTTTTTAATAATATATGTTAAAAATTCCATATACAGTATATGAGAAATGGGTTTTTTATTAGTGAAACACACCTCTTTTACATTTAATAATTTAAGTTTCGCAAATGTAAATTTTTGTTCAACTTATTATTTAGTCAAGTGATCATCAATCAGATGATTTTTTGGTATTACAAAACAATTTTGAGTAACGAAAATTGTGCAAATCAATTCAATAACTCTTTTTAATGCAGAGTAGACAAATCAGCCCATATGTCCAAATCGCATGATTCTATTGGCCATATAGTTATCGCCTTGGGTAATTCTTTTTGAATATCTGTAATGGTAATTTGCGCATCAGTAATATTTTGCTTAATGTATACCTTTCCTTCTTGTAGTGCCCGCTAACACATCTGGAAATTCAATGCAAAATACTGCCAATGAGCATGACACGCAAATCTTCTATTCTTGTATTAAAGAAGGTACCTGAAATACTTGGCAGGCTTTATATCTTTAATGCGTTCTGCGCAAAGGTCTGCACTTCCAGTCAGATATAAGGTTAGGAATGCGCATACTATATAACCTGGCATTTGGAATTCATTAACAGGATTTTCATTTATTTGTGGCCACATTATAGGATGATTTTCATTTTGTTTTCAATTGAGTATATTTTTAATAGCAGTATCTTTCCGATTGGCTGATGGTGGAAGTGGAACGAAGATACGTGTAATAATGTCATCCTCATTTTCGTCACAACATCATCATTAATATCTTAAAGTTGGTCATTAATTGTGCCATTAATTGGCAAAAACTGGAGAATTTTATGATTGATGATTACGTCAGCGTAGTAATGATTATTTTATTTTAACTAGACTAACGCTTGAGTGACCTTACCACAATGAACTTTGAAATCCCTAAACGCTTCCGCATTGCTCGCAGATTGATGACATATAACAAGCACATCTAATAAAGATAGATATCTAGAAAGCTTTGAAGCAAATTTTTGGACATCTTGAGGAAAGTTGATAACGTTTCCTCAATATCTATGCTAACCTCTACGAAGTCTATAAACTGACATCACAGAAAATACTCATACAACCAACATTTCCTTAACTTCTGTGAGATCACGAAGTTCATCAGGTTCTTCGTCTGAATCCATATTGTTATCTTTTGAAAATTTTTTTGGCTACTTCTCTTTATGGCAATGTTAGCATTCCCCCTATAATTACAATAGATGAAAAACTTTCATTGCACATTGTGCAGAGTGAATGTTTAAATTTATTAACTTTGTTACAAAATTTCTTTAGAAGATCTCGCTTGAATTCACTAAATACACCGGCATCAGTATGTGTCTGCACCATTTTCTGCATTATTTTCTGCACTGTTATCTTCTACACCATCTGTGCCATTATCTTGAAACTTTTGCTGCAGATTTTGTTGTTGCGAATTCAAGTCTTAGGTCGTTATATTTTGAATGTTTTTCAGGTATTTTCTTTGTTCACAGTGGTAGCTAAGGCGTTTTTCACATTGTTCGTCCATTTCCATTGCTAACTTTACGCATTTTTATTCTTTGTTACGTGAGCCATGCGCCTTTCTCTTTTCAGCATTTGTATTTTCTCTTGCCTTTTTTTACTGCATAATTTTACGTTACTTTGCAAGACGTATTTCACATTGACTAGATGTTTTATTTTCTCTAGCTTTATGTTTTCGAAGTGCGTCACGGCTTATGAATTTATTATCCATTATGCATGCTATAGAGAAACTCCATAGTGGCTTGTATTTTACTTTTGTTAATCGATCATCGCATATGATAATCATCATGCCAGATTACTATATTTAGAATAAATATTAGTGACCATTTATGCTTTACGAATTTATTTTCAATTGTTGTTAATAATTAACATGTGATAATAGTATATTCATTTTACAAATAATAAAAAATTTTATTAACATATACATTCAATTATTACATTTGATATTTATGAATTTATGATTACTACATTTCTTATCTAACCTTAAATTCGCAATGCTACAAAAGTAAATTAATTAACAAAATTTTTTCGTTCCAGACCTAACGGTTTCTATTTTCTAGTATTATTAATAATAAATCCATTACAAATATTATTGCAACGTAATGTTTAAATTATTTTGAAATTATGATTTGTAATACTTTTATTAAGCCCTTGTGATATAATATTGTAATTAATTGCAAAATACATAAAAACAATTTCAATCATTACAAAATAATGTCAGTATTACAGAAGTATAATAAGAATATTATAAAAGTATTTCAAAAAAATAGCCATTTTTAGTAAAGTCATGTCAATAGAGTAATTTTAGTTTTGACTTCTCACTGTGCAACTATTTTTATATTATTTTATTGTAATTGATTTGTTTTATTAATAAAGATATATGATATCAAAATAATATCTAAACAAATATCGCTATGATATTTTTATAATAATTGTGAAAATGCAGTAATAATGTCAAATTAATATCATAAATAAGCTTTAATTTTTAGATAAAATAGATAAAATTATTGTCATCGCAATGGTGTTAAAACAATGTCAATTAGATAATCCTTTAAATAGATATCGTTGTGATATCTTTACAATAATTGTGAAAATGCAGTAATAATGTCAAATCAATATCATAAATAGGCTTTAATTTTTAAATAAAATTATTGTCATCGTAATAATGTTAAAACAATGTTAATTTAATAATCCTTATAAATAGATATCGTTATGATATCTTCACAATAATTGTGAAAATGCAGTAATGATCTCAAATTGATATCATAAATAAATTTTAATTTTTTAAAAAATTATCATTATTGTAATAATATTAAAGTGATGTCAATCAGATAATTCTTTAAATAAACAACATCATGATATCTTTGTGTTAAATTTTAATGATACAGTGATAATATCAAATCAATATCATAACAATATCGTTACAACAATCAATATCGGTGTGATATGAATTGTATATTGTTTCTATATTAATTTAATATCGCTCAAATTTTCAAGGTTTCTGTAAAGTAATTACTAATTTTATTTTTAAATATAATAATAAATTTAATGCAAAAATATATACTTATTTTATACTTAATTGACGATCCGCGAGTCAACTAGAGAAATTACATATAAAATTTGACGCAAATCATATACTAATTTGTCGTAATACGCCGACTTTAATGATTTCTGATGTAACAAAAACTATAAAGCATAGTTTACTAAAAATAACACAAACAATAAAGTAAATGTCACACTTTTATTTTTCAAAGCTACAAAGTGTAAAACTTTTTTTTGACGAAGTTTACCTTGAAAGCACGCGGCATTTACTATGTTATTAGGTAAACTAAGGTTTTAAAAGTACAAATTATGGAAATATTTTTATATTTCACTAAACTTTCATGCATATTGCTTTATTTTTGATATATTTTATTAGTAAACTATGCTGTAATAACTTCTAAACCGACAAATTCAAAACTTTTTCACACTCATTATACAAGTGATATGGTATGATAAAACTAGTTTTTGTCTTTCAAATCTCAGATCTCTTAGAAATTGGACTTTTTTCTAATGTTACATTATGGTTTTTTTTGCATGAGATTGGTGGGAAAACTGTGGAAAACTATTTCATTAAAGCAAAATGGCGTTATTTAAACATTTGGCTAGAGAAATTCATGAACAACACCACATTCAGAAATGCAGCTTTTAATTAATAAATTTCCGTCAAATTTTATTATCGTTTTCACTACTTGACTCGCAGATCACCAATTAAATAGACAAAAATTCAAAATATTTTAAAAATCTAATATGCATTTTTTAAAAATATTTTTAAAAGTATTTTACAAATCATTATTAATTTATTCTAAATATACTACAGTCAACTTCTTTTATAGTCACTTCCATTATAGTTACATTCTACTATATAGTCACACCAGTTGAATGTTCAAAACACTTTATTATTAAAATATATCCTATATAGTCACAATCTATCTATAGTCACTATCACACCTATCCTCAAAAATCTTATATTAAAAAGAACTGTTTATAATCACAGTTATATAAAGAATATATTAAATAACTTGGTATCTAATAATCATACAAAGATATATCATAATTTGTTAGAATCGTCTTACTGAGATGAATCGAATGGTGGTAGTTTTATCATTTTACAATCACTGGCCGATGAGTTATTCAACAAAATATTTAACATCAGCATTATAATATTTTTTGATTTATGTTTACTGCACCATTTAACATTTTGCTAAATTTCTTGGTATCTAGTGATTGTAAAAAGACAACTAGTGTTCACCCGTTATCTACGACAACAGTTAATATGTATTAAAATGGCATAATTCCAGCCAGAATTAAAAGATCTGCAAAGAATTTCCTTTTTTGAAAATTTGAGCAATACAATTTTTTAATTTCTCTGAAAAGTAACAGAAGATAAAATTTCCTTTTTTGGAAATTTGCGTAACTATAAATTTCCTTTTATAGAATTCTGTGTAATCCAAAATTTCAGTTTTTTGCCAGAAATAAAATTTCCTTTTTTGGTCTTGTGTAATATTGGCAATGAATAGGAGTAGAGTTACACAATTCAAATGACTTATTTATATGGTTAATCTAAACATAATGCTCATATGATTGCAGTGTTTTTTAATATATGGGGACCTGCACAGCAAAACCCGGGGTTATGACCGATCACGTGATTTCGAGATTTTGTGATAGTCATATGCCCAAAGGTCTAGCCTTTTAGAAAATAAGGTTTTTGAAGTATAATAAAATAGTAAAAAGGGCATAAAATTTAACTTATTGTCGTTGTATTTTATTTTAAAAACTATCGTATTTTTGCGTATTATTCCCATTAAATAATATGGAGTATGGAATTTATTTTAATAAAGATGGTGCAAATGAAAATATATCAGCCGCTTTAATGGACCTGGAAAATACTTATTTTATCGAAAATTCAGATTCTGATAACGAAAAAAGTACATTAGATGGAGAAATTGAAGTTGCTTCTAATAATGACTATAACAATATTGAAAATCTTAAAGAAAATTTTGAAGAAATGCGTTTAAATGACTTCGAATTTACAGAAAATTATGATAATTATATTGAAGATAAAATTTATGATGAGTTGAAATTAAAAGTAAAGGAGTTTTTTGATAAAGGAAAATGCTCATGTCAAGTTAAGTGTTTTGAAAAAATTGGTTATGAACAGTTTCTTGCGCATCGGTTAGAATTTGAAAGTTTAGACAAAAATATACGAGACGTAGTTGTTAAAGGACAGCTTATGACTTTTCAAAATACCAATAATAGGAAAAATTGTCGTTTCAAATATTGTTTTAATAACAGTCTTCCAATTTGTCGTATCACATATGAAAATCTTGTTGGGATTGGTCATACACATTTAGATAATTTAATAAAGCATTTTCGAGAATATGGCCTTGAAGAACGTATACATGGTAACACTGGTAGAGGTCCAAAAAATATGAATCGTGTTGAAATAAATTATGTCATGTGAAATTTACAATTTTTTAAAGAATTATTCTGATATACATGGTTTACCTTCACCTGGGCGGAAATTTAGCAAAATATCTATGCCGGTTGTATTTCTACCAATAAGTTATAGCTATGCATCAGTATACCGTGATTATATTCAAGCTTATGAAAATGAATATGGAGAAGAAATACGTGTTATAGCTGAATCAACTTTTCGTAAAATCTGGAAACTTCTGATACCATCGCTTCAGTTTATGTCTTCAAAGTCTGATTTATGTGAAACCTGTGAATTGATGAAATTAAATATTCAGTATGCTACAGAACACATCGGGAAATTTTTTGGGGAGCAGATCTGCGCAGATTTTCAGAAATTATATCTGCGCAGATCTTATACTCTGGCGCAAAACATTAGAGGAAAAATCCAATAAAAAACTGCGCAGATTTTATAAATAACAAAGTTCTGCGCAGATTTT